TGTTGGGCGGAGCCTGGTATACTAGTCGGTGAGCAATGACACGTAAGACTTGTCAAATACGGCTGTATAGAAATCGGAAGCGACTGAACCCAACGTATATTGTAAGGCTACAAGGATAGGAAGCGAATCAGACAGAGCGAGAAACGTGCAGCGAGGAACTCACCAAAACGGTTTGCGTCCACGGATGTGCAGTCAGTAAAACAAATGGACGTTTCGAAGGTTAAAACAACCGTAAAATCCAATGTTACAAAATACTGAAAGAACTTGTTTTCCGGTACACTACAACTCATTGGGTAATGCGCTTAATTCAATTAAGGATGCTGTACAGCAGGCCATTCCACAAGCCCCAACTGGCATGCACAACCCTTTTACCACAGTGAAAAGCGTGTACGCCTTTGAAGCTTCCCTTTCAGACTAAGCGACACATGACACATTCGTAAGTTACTCCACGTGAGCACAAACGCACGTCCACTTCGTTCATATCCATCAAGTGTCATTTTTGCAAGGAATACAAGGGAAACGATCTCCGAATGTACGCGAAACAAGCGTGAGCGCGTATTCAAACGTGCAGTCACCACGCAGGCGAATTTCTCAGTTGCCGGCAACCTGCTGACAATCAGAACTACTACGATATACGACGCCGTGCATGGTAATTGCATGTACAGGAAAGTAACCAATCAATAGACATATCGTCTAGGAAGTTTCACAGCACGGGCATTACGCCCAGTGATGTGGCGAAATGCATTAAAAACTGGCCGCATAACGTGCGCCATAGAGCTGCGATTCGTCTATCACGGAGGCAGTTGTTGCAGCGGTGCAAGGCACCATTGCATTTCATCCCAATGTTGCTTTACGATTACATTGCAGGTAGAAAACAACACTCCCGACGAACTGGTGAATTTGAACATCTAAACGTTGTGCACTTCATACACTTGTACAAATATAAGGTCCTTTCTTCAGCTTGTGTCCGCTGCTGTTCGTCTAAGGAAACGCACCGGATCGTCATTGTTGTGCAAACGCACAGGACACTATGTCGTGTTTGGGAGCAGCTTCACTAGCATGTGCTTATCCATTTTCGCTGCCCCGGCAATTATTTACGGTGGGGAGTGCGGTCAGTATCAGATAAATAGGATACCGCAATAAGTGACGAGTTTCAAAGGGTGAAAGTGTGCCCAGGGTCCCGTGCTGTGGTCCACCGTAGTGATACATCTTGATTGGTTACGAGTTATCAGCTGATTCATGGTCGCACGTGGGTGGGGTGGGACTATGATTGGTCTGAAATTTCGCCTCATTTACTAGGGCCATGGTTTGTTCAACGTCCACTATTTCGCAACCGCTCACTCCGGAGTCTCAGTCATGCGTGATTGTGGTTAAATCATGGTGAAAACGGTTCACTGTGCTGGGTGGGGAAGATCCAAATCTATATTAGGGGCATAAAAGTTCCCCACTAATAAGCAATCCCTATTTAGACCATGGTTTTTAGAGACTGTAGTAAACTAGCACCAGAACTCAAAGGAGCTCTGTAGAAGACACAGAGTAGTGATCTACACCCACCGTGAACACGACACTAGAGCACTTCGGTGCACTCAGAACTTCCAAAGGCAACAGCAACTACCTGGACCTTCAGATGCTCCTTCCAGTAGAGTATAACACCGCTCCCCGAACACAAACCATTGCGAACAGCTCGTGACAGAATGGAACCAGGCATATGTAATTCGGGACCTGGGATTCCTAGGGACAACCTTGTCTCCGTAAACACCATAAGGTCCGGGAAGAATACTGACGCAATGTGCACTACTTCAGCCAGTTTGTTACGCAGACTGAGCACGTTCGCAAACAGCACGTGCAATCCAATTGTTGAGCTTAATGTCCGGGAAGGACAAGAACTGGCTTCCAAAGCATACTCTGCATTTTCCGAAGCCCACGAAAATTTTCAATGCGCAAATAGGTTTCAGCTTAGCACGACGAGTTCTCAATCCATCGACTGCAATCTTCATTTTAACGCGGTCCTCCGGGGATAGATCACGTAACACGTGAAACATCCTCCGTTTGAGACGCAAAGTCCGCCAAAGGACCCGATGGCATTCATCTTCACTATGACATACAACCTTAAAAGAACGCATCTGGAAGGAATCCTCATGTTTTCTGCCAAGACGGAAAGCAGAAACAATATTGCTCCCCTATTTCCCCACATCAAACAGTAAGGAGAACGTTCGTTTTAGAAATAATTGATCATCTAAACTTCTCTCTGCTACCGTTGTTTTAGCCATTATTATTATTATTATTATTATTATTATTATTATTATTATTATTTCATTATGATGAGACAACGTCTCCGGTTAGGGAGCTTGGTGGTCTCGGAGGTCAGCGGCTTAGATGGCGGCTTGTCCTTGAGCAGTTTCTCCAAATGGTTGATCTTATGAAGAACTGGTTTCAGCCAGCGCTTTGGTGGTGACGCTTTAACCCCTACCCACTTGACTATAGGCTTATTTTTAGGCACAACAAAAATCCGGCTTGCGGGAGCAACCAACGTGTTCTCCTTGAAGACGGAAGGCAAAGGTCAACGTATCGTAGGAAGTAAAAGGACAACAGTATATGCAGATGTAGAAGTCCCAGTGTAACGATCCTATGTAGAATTGTGACGCTAGTTGTCCTGCCAGTGTAAAGTTATGGACTGTGACTTTATTCGGTGGCGAGTCACATACGCCACGCTGCAGTGTTGTTAAACGGACATTTGTGGCTTTTTGTAGGGAGAACGTTTGCCAGGCGAAAACCCACCACGTCCGGGAACACTACCGCCAATCCATTGAATGGCAAATTGTAACTGGCTATGTTTCTTGTTGAACGTTTGTTTGCTCGGTTATTCGCAGTCAGGTTGCGTCCCATTTTTCTGCTGGCTGATGCCATACCTGGTCGCCTATTGCGTTCCTGGGTCCTGTCCATTGGTAGGTCGGGTACTAAGCATTCTTATTGAATATGATGTGTTGATCCTTCGCAGAACCACGTGAACTCTTCTTTGATTATGTATGTTTGCCGGGGAGCGAAGAATTATTGTCCAGCTACGCTCACTAGACATCGGTGTTTGGGTGCAAATAGTTAGAGTGGAAGTGAGGCCATGGTCCGGGTAAGTACTTGTTGGTTATTTCGTCCCATCCCAGACGGAGGCAGTTCCTCAGTTCAATCCCGAAGCTCTCCGATGTTCACGACGTCAGAGAAAAGGGAGAGAGGAACAGGCCGAGAGAAGACCGAAAAGGGACAGTCAATGTACCTAGCGTTTGATCAAAATCCTACATTAAGACATTTATTTGAGACAACTAGTGTACAATGTGTAACAGATATTACGCTAAAGATGTTTTTAATTATGCAGAAGGCATGGCCTGATGGGTAGAATACTTTCATGTGCATAGGGATGAAGAGCAGGATTCCGGTAAGATATTCATGAGGTGTAAGCTGACGATGTTTGGATTCTACCTGTGACTAGAAAGTGGGTGTGTAGTCACGATTGGTTGTTATCGGAAACCAAAAGACAGTGACGATGTGGCCGTATTTATATATGCTCCACGGGATAAGGATTACCTAAGACACCATAACTACAATGTACATAGTGTGGTAGATTGAAGGTAGATACTACTGAACCGGATATAAGTAGTGTGATGCAAGCTGACACACCAACAGCGAGCCTTGCCGACTTCCCCAAAGTTGAAGATGACCTCAGGATTCCAGTTCCATGTGCACGAGAAGTAAACACAGAGACGAGCACCAGTTGGGAAACACTCTATGGAAATCACGCGGATGAGCGGATGCCTCTAAAGTAACTGTATGGAAATCACGCAGATGAGCGGACGCATCCAATGTATAAACGAACACACCTAGTATAAGCCACTTTAGTAATAAAC